GTTGTTCTCGCGTGATCTAGAGTTAGTCCCATCATTCATTGCGCGCATAACATACAAACAAAATGGCCACCTGCTGCAAGAAAAGAAAAGCCTTACTATTTTCATGAATCACAGGTTGGCAGGTCTGGGTGGAGGAGGGGGAGGGTGTGCGTGCGTGTATGGGTGTTTGTGTGTGTGCGTGTCTGCATGCATGCGTGCATGTGTATGGGTGGAGCAGACCTGCCAACCTGTGATTCATGAAAATAGTAAGGCTTTTCTTTTCTTGCAGCAGGTGGCCATTTTGTTTGTATGTTATGCGCGCAATGAATGATGGGACTAACTCTAGATCACGCGAGAACAACGTGAACGCGTGATCCAATATGGCTGCGCCCACAATCGCCAGATATTTCTCGGCTCACAATGTAAAAAACATTAATTTAAAGTTTTCCAGTTTGATCGTACATTCGTAGAAACTTCATGGAATTCGTAAGGAATACGAAAAAATCGTAAGGGTTGGCAGGTCTGCTCCACCCATACACATGCACGCATGCATGCAGACACGCACACACACAAACACACACACACGCGCGCACACACTCCCCCCTCCTCCACCATCACACACACACACCTCAGCCAGCTTCTCGAACCCAGACACGTGACCCTCGAGTCTCTCCATCTTGTTGCGGACGGCGAAGCGGCGGTTTCCGTCCATGATGAAGGCGATGTGGCGAGGGATCGGACCCGCACGCAGCACGCGCGCGCACAGCCGCTGCAGCCACGTCACCTGCTCGTCGTCGTCGCGAAACCACGACATGTCGCTGCAACGACCATAGAGCTCTCCGATTAGACAGATTAGATGGATTACCTGAGTCAGTACTATAGCTAATCTGAGATGATATTATATAAGATGATATAGGATCATAGGATTGATCGAGTTAGATTGATGGATAATAATTAATATGTTCGTTTTACTTGACGGATATCTTGAGATGCAGAATTTACATTTTACGTACCTGAAACACTCAGCATCATGAGCATGAAAACGCACAGAGCATAAATATCAATCAAGCCAACAAATACATATTCATGAGTGTTCTTTCACTGTGTCAGTGACAGTGTGACAGTGTCAGTGTGACAGTGTCAGTGACACTGGCCACAGGCACTTGGAACATCTCAATAAAAAAAATTAATGGTAAATAAACACGAAAAGTCTTAAATCTTTCGAGCTACTCTATTTCGCCTATAATCACCTGTACATGCCGGTCAAATGCTCATCTGCAACACACAAGTACACCGCACGCCCGCCATGTGCACAAACAACATGAATAAGAGAGCAGGTAGGAAAGCGTGATCGCGAAATTCGCTCGACGCTCGCTTCATTTCACACGATCACAGAACAAAAACACATCCAACAGCTCCCATCTTGGTATCTATGTGTACATATATGTTCACTTGTTCGAATTATAACTCTGGCCTTTGTACCTACTTCCGCCAGAGATATCTCGTGAAATCCTGCAGGAAATGTTCTCTCCGTGAAAATGTAAATAGGACGTATCATCTGAAAATCCCTAACAGCTCGCTACTTTCGATCGATCGCTGTAGTCGTGTGTGCGTGACTTCATTCCCGCACGCATTGTGCTTGGCTTGGCGGGCCTCGAAATGGAACTCGGAGGCCGGCAGCAGCTCATCCCGGCATGCAATGCGCCCCATTACTCGTGTATAAACAGACATCGCGTCCTCTTTACATTCTCTTTACATTTGCACGGAGAGAACATTTCCTGCAGGATTTCACGAGATATCTCTGGCGGGAGTAGGTATAAGAACAAAGACCAGAGTTATAATTCAAACAAGTGAACATTTATGTACACATAGACACCAAGATGGGAGCTGTTGGATGTACGTGTTTTCGTTCTGTGATCGTGTGAAATGAAGCGAGCGTCGAGCGAATTTCGCAATAACGCTTTCCTACCTGCTCTCTTATTCATGTTGTTTGTGCACATGGCGGGCGGGCGGTGTACTTGTGTGTTGCAGATGATCGAGCATTTGATCGGCATTTACAGGTGATTATAGGCGAAATAGAGTAGAGAAACATTAAGACTTTGGTACATTTCGTGTTTATTTACCATTAATTTTTTTTATTCAGATGTTCCAAGTGCCTGTGTCTGTGACACTGGCAGTTTGAGTGGGACATGCATTCTCAAGTGACAAGTGAATTTCTAAACCTACTAATATATTATCCATATTATTATTATTGCATTGAATATCGTTGACATGCTTGTATTTGGTTCATCATTTTATTTCATCCTGGTGATGATGTAATCGCGTAACAACATTACGTCATTACTATACATTACTCCATTGCTTAGGTAGGCCCCATAATACTCGGGCGAGCAATAACTTATTTAATTTATTGAACACGCATATACTAGTGACTACTACTACCAACATTCTTATGACTTCAACGCACTATGAACGAAGAAATTATGATTACCTCTAGTGTCTAATTGATAACAGACAAGCTAAGTTACATTACTCTGGCCAAGTAACCATCACTGAACTTTCCGATGTAGCGACAACACGACAACAGTTACTTTTCTCCCCCCACTCGGGGGCTGACATCTTTAATCACAAGAGCGTTCGGTCAGCGCCGTCTAGCGACCGCTGTGCGCCACCACGAAAGTTGACGTCACCTAAACAACATGGCAGGGGCAAAGTTCGAGTATGATGAATCCGGCTCGACGTTTTACTATTTCGTGGCGTCGTTCACGGCCCTGATTCTTCTGCCCAGCACCTACTGGTGGTGGCCGCGAGCAGAGGAACAAGGTGAGTCGAAGGTCGTTGCCGGGGACCCTTCAGGTTGCTCGCGATATAAAATTAGTAATGACAAAGTTAAACGACGACGACTTCGTGACCTGCTGCTGCCGTCGCTTCGCAGCTGACCAGGAAACAATTAACTTCGTTCTCATTTGAGTAAATATAATTCAGTGGCGCGCTTGGCTTGCTAATCCCGAAAGCGGCGTGCGTCGCAGCCAAAAATTGCGGTCAACGGTGGAACAACGCTTCCGCATTTACTAGTAGTAGTAGGCCCATAGTACTGGGATTTCTCGATTCATTCATTCGTTGTATTTATTTTGGCAGTTTATTCATGATGCAATTGCAATAAGAACGTGAGCTTTGCAACAAGCTGGTTAAAAATTCCAGCTGGTTCAGAGTTAAAAAACAGTTCCAAGTTCAAAACATCAACGCTTTAGGGCCTACCGCAAATCCACCAAATACTGTGACATAGTGTCAAATTATGAAATAGTCATCATACTTATAGTCTTATACTCATAGTCCCTTGAAGACTAATATTTACAAATACAAGGTTACAAAATGTTAAGCGACGGATACTGTATGACGTATCTCCCTACGGCCTTATGTCCCATCAGGGCAACAAGAGGATTTAAGAAGTAAGACGAAAGACTGTATCTCCCTCTTTCGCTCGGCTCAACGAACATGAAAGCGGGGTACCGGTAATCATTCTGCACAGAAAGTGTCAAATAGTCTTCATAGTCTTGGACTAATATTTATGAGGTTACAAAATGTTAAGCGACGAATTCCGTATCGCCCTCGTTCGTTCAGATCGTCGAACGCCGCCGTCTAATCGTCCGTTCTCTCTCGTATCACACTGTATAATATTTTGTCTTGGTATACTTTAGCTGAGAGGGTCTATGTCCCCCAGGGTACTGCCGGAACGTACCCTGGGTACGGTCTGGTATGCCGAAATGTACCCTGGTACTATCTAATATGCCGGACCGTACCTCACCTACTCCACTAACGAGTCTAGGGAGTCGCCTATGCCTACTCCCTAACCCTAACCCTAACCCTAACCATATCAGATAGTTACCAGGGTACGTTCCGGTATACCGGACCGTACCCAGGCAGGGTTCTCCCTACGTTGCGCAAACGGGGCGCGCGCGCCCCGTT